CACACCCTCCTTGCCAGCCTTACCTCCCTTGCCACTCACCCCTCGCCCCTCGCCAGTTGCCCCTACGCCACGCTTCTCTCTACGTAAGTAGTAAATACGCTCGAGTATTATTAACGTAAATGCAAAATTGCCAATTTCGAGTGTATTTCCTGTCAACAGAAATTTCCTTCATGGCGTCTCGCTACCACTTTACACCCCTCGCCCCCCCCCCCTCTTCTCCCTTTCTCTCCACCCTTGCATGCCCCTCAAGGTATTCAGTGAAATAAAATTAAAAGCAAAAATATCGCCACAGAGAATTGCTAAGAGAAACTCTGGCGCAAGGCATCGCGTTTTATTTTCTTTTATTTTATTTTATTTTTTGTTCAGCTCCTTTCCCCTCCCTGCGCTCCTTTGGTCTAGTTTGCGTTTTTTGGTGGCACCCGTGCGGCTCATTCGCCAAATTGTCGTTGTCTACGCATTGCCACAAGCGGCGAGGGTATCTTCTCGGCAGCCCAGCCCAGCCCAGCCCAGCCTGCGCCTCCATCTCCACCACGCGGCCTTCCGGGCCGCGGCTTTTATTAATATGTCTGGCAATTTCAATTTGACTTTATTGGTAATTTTACATTGCGTCTCTCTATAAACGACTCGCTCGCAACTAGGCGCAGCTTTGTGGCACGTTTGCTTCAGAATTGCCGGGCGGTGGTTGTGGGTCGGGGGGGTTGGGGACTAGTTGCCTTGGCAGCCATTTATCGCAGCGCTTTAGACTTAGACAAATGCGAGTAGCAAGGCCAATATCAAGCGGAATTGTGGGTAGCTACTCGTAAATGTAATTGAGAAGAGAACGACATATTGTGTGCAATGAGTATTGAATGTTACAGTAAATACATAGTTACAATAGTTATCGATAAATATCGAAAGAAAGCCGAAAACAGTTCTATGTCTCTGCGGTAGTTATCGATAGTATGCGAATGTGAGGAGGAACGTTAGCGAAATGGGCGACAAATTGTGCCCTAGCTATAAGTACATGCTGTAGTTATCGATAGTTATCGAAAGAAAGCTGAGCAACAGCGGAAGAGGGCATTAATTAAATGGGTGTAGTTTTATGTATCTGCGCTAGTTATCGATAGTATGCGAAAGTGGGGTGTTAACGACAATTTGTGTACCAGCTATGAGTACATGCTGCAATTATCGATAGTTATCGAAAGAGAGCTAATTGACATTGAGTACTTATATAATGCTATTCGCAAAACGTGTGCCATAAATCGTATGTATATCGACTATACAATAGTTATCGATCGTTGTAGTTACGTGTATACATATAATATCGATAGTTAGCGATAGTCACAGAAAGTGTGCCATGACTCTTAAGTATGTCGGCTATGCCATAGTTATCGATAAGTGCAGTTACTTAAATACACCTAACTATCGATAATTAACGAGCATCATGTCTTATGTCTAACGAGTATGCGAAAGTTATCGATATTACTTTAATCCATTTATTTCATTCTTCGCAATTCGCCTGCTTCCTCACTTCAACTAGTTGGGAAAATAAATCCTCAAACAGTCAGCTAACAGCTCCTTCTACATCCCATCCAGACTTTAAATAGGCCTTCTCAACGCGTTCGTTTCTCGACACTTATCAAAGCAATTATCGATAGTTGATCTTAAAGATAAATGGTCAGTTACTTGAGACCTGTCGGTGCCTCGCCTCGGCTCGCCTCGCCTCGCCTCATCCACGGACTGTCGTTTAACAAATTGGCAAATTATCCCATTAAAAGAGTGCCGCACCCGCTGCCCCCGGCCCTCGCCCCTGCCCCGCCCATTGGCAGCCAGTTAATGTGAAATTCATTAAATAGCACAAGATATCGATAACCGAAGAGAATCGACAAAACAAAGCCAGTCTTAGCTGGAAAATTGCTTAATTGAACATTTAATAAACGCACAAAGGAGCCACTGAAGTGGCCAGGACTGGACAGGAGCAGGAGCAGGAGGAGGAGAGTGCAAGGGTGAGGGCGAGGGAGATGGAGAGGGAGAGGGAGGTCAGCTGGGTATAGATTACAGTCGTAGAGCGGAAAAGATGCGAACTTCAATATCAAATTAATTTAGGCGGAAAATGAACCTGGAAAATGGGCAGAGCGGGAAGGGGTAGCAGGGAAGCTGGGCATAAAACCGAGCCAAAGGGCGAAACAAAGCAAAAGAAGAATGTGAAGCGAATACTGGGAATGTGTAGGGGGACGGGGGACGGGGGTGTGCAGGGGCCATCAGGCAAACCGCAAAATATCGCATGACAGAAAATCAAGCAACTCATGGCGCCGATTCATTGACCAGACCCAGGCAAAACCCAAGCGACCCGGTTCAGCACGGTCCGAGCAGCAAATTGAATTAGTAGCCAAAAACGAACGAGTGCGAGAGAGAGAGAGAGAGAGAGAGAGAGAGAGAGAGAGAGAGGGGGAGAGAGCAGACCGGTCCGAAATGAACCAACAAGGCGAACAGCAGCCGACATCGATAGCTGACCAAAGTGGCTAACCGGGCGAACGGACCCTCAACTCATCTGGCAGCCCGCCGCACCCAACAAGTGGGCGACGAAGGCCTTGTTGTTGCTATTTATAAGTGTGTGTGCGTGTGTGTGCCAGTGTGTGCGAGTGTGTGCCAGTGTGTGCGAGTGTGTGTGTGCGGGGCCAACTGGACATTGGGCAGCTGTCGTTAGCTAATTGTTAATTGATGTGTGTCTAATTATGCCCGCCAAAGTAGCCAGGCAATAAAAACAATCACAGCCACATGACAACCAGCAGCAACAACAACAACAGCAACAACAACAGCAACAACAACAACAACAGCAACAACAACTGAGCAAGCTCTCGCGTCGTGACAGGCACCGAGGCATCAGTTGAAGGTGCTCGCTCAAGGCATACTATATATATAACATATATATATAGATATAGACATATATATATAGATATACATCATATATAAAGTAAGGAAAATATTCATACATATATGTATATATATATATATATAGCAGGGATATCTTGGATATCTGATTATTTATTATTTCGTATAGCCATTCATAGCTATGGTAGCTATACGATATAGTGGTCCGATATATACATATATATCTATACATATATAGATATATATAGAGATGGATTTATCCCTTAAGCACATCCGTTTTCGAGCGATCATATCTGTGATATGCGATATACTTCTCCGATTTACTATATACATATATATTGAAGAGGATCTATCCATGAAAGAGTTTAATTTTCGACAGATTAGACCTATGTTAGCCATACGATATAGTCGTCCGATCCGCCATATATGCTGCCTGAAACAAAGTTTCCTGACAAAAGACCTGGAAGACCAGTTTTGCTCACGCAGCAGAGAGAAGCTCGTAATTGCAGAGTTTGATCAAGATGATACTGAACAAGCATGTATATATACATATATATATATATACTCTAAGCATTGCAGGACAAAATTATAAAAGCCTCCACAGGGAATCAAGTTTGCAATGCCAGAGAGAAGAGTATGCTCCATTTATAGGATTATAAATAAATGTAGTGAAAACAAGATTCAAAGAGAATTGAAATGAATGTAGTCCGTTCAAGAATGTGAAAATTCCCAACAGAATGGAAGAAGTAGAGCGCTGAGAAGAGAGAGATCGTAAGTTTGAAAATGAGCTGAAGGCATTCGAAACGAAACGGGAATCGAACAAACTTCAATGCAATTTGTACAAAAATAATATTCTATATAGTAAAAAGCAGACAATTGAAATATCAAGTATTTCTCTTTCCTATGAGAGTATTGTTATCCTTCCGCCCTCTTTCGCTCTGGCTCTCTCGCACTGATTGCCACAGCTTGGGACTAAGTTTCCCCTGAAGCTTAGAGCTATTTATGGCCAGAATATAATATGCTATATAATGCTTAAAGTATTATATATAAAAGTAGACACTTAAGAAAGCCAACAACGAATGGAATTTATTAAACCCGTTCGCATTCCGAGTCAGTTCGGAAGTTGATTGAGCGAGTGGCCCGGAAACTAATTTCGCTTATGGTGAAAAGTGAGACCATCATTGTGAACGCACACACACACACACACACACACACACATATAACTATATAATCACAATAGAACGCCCCGTGCGACACGCCTAAGCCGATTCCCGTTTAATTTGAGACCTGAGCCGAGCTAGAAAAAGAAGAAGAAAAAAAAGGGCTAAACCACTTAACACCCTAACACCCTAATTGTCAAAACAAAGCGCACACGAAACATAACACACACTACACACACACACACACACACACACACAGTCGCACAGCAAACACGAAACCATCTTGCTGATTTCGTAGACCCGGTTCCAGTTCCCCCCGCCCGTTGGCCCATGTCTTTGTAGTAGGCAGCATGAAAAGCCAAACAAAACTGGCTAAAGAAAATATTTTGTGGCAAATTTTTCTGAGAAGGAGAAGAAGGAGAAAAACATGCACGAAATATGGAACTGGAACTAGAACGAGACTGAGACTGAGACCCAGAGCCAGAGCCAGACTGAGGAGTCGAGTCGAGTCGAGTCGAGTTGCTGAGAGGACGTGCGCTTAACCCTTCGCTGACATTTGAATAAATCCTGGCAACTTGTCAAAATCTGCGCGCTGTTGAATGAAAGGCAAGCGAGCATGGAACAATTTTCAGCTGTCGCATATCGTGTGCGAAAAATCTAGGACCCAGGGGCCAGGCAGGGCCAGGGCCATTGCCAGGTTTTCTATAAGCATGAGCTGAGGTTTTTTTTTTTCTATAAGCATTTTCCTTTGAAGGATGAGCTCTCGCATGTCTGACAGCGTCTATTGTCAGGCATTTAAGGGAAATGCGATTGAGTTGTGCAGTTGGTTTAGCGACTGCGACTGCGATTGCCATCGCTCTGGTTGGGACATGTGTTAAGCAAGCGGCAGGAATGTCTGCGGCATATGCAACAGGCGTGCAGCAAAAAAAATATGCTCATCTCTTTCCCTTGTTCTTTTCCCTCCTGCAGAACAAGCGGCCGCACGTGGCCAGGACTATGCCAGCAGCTTGGCCAATGCCAGCGGCGATGAGCAGTCGCCCAGCAAATCTGGCGCCGCGGCTCTGGACACTGGCGCCTCACTGCTCGGCTCACCCACGGCCCTCAGCAATGGGCAAGCGGGCGGCTCCGCCAACGGCGCCAGCAGCAATGGCCACAACAGCAACGGCAATAACAACAACAGCGCGAGTTCCGGTTCCGGCTCTGGGTCTGGCTCCGGCTCTGGTTCCACGGCCAGCCGCTGCTCGCCCTCGGCCGCCTCGTCCTCCTCCAACGCTGCCGCCGCCCTGGCCCACGTGCAGCAGCAGCAGCAGCAGCAGCAGCAACAGCATCAGCAGGGCGGCCAGCCGGCGACGGCCCATCATCATGCCGCTCTGGCGGCACATCAGCATGCTGCGGCAGCGGCAGCGGCGGCACATCATCATGCCGCTGCCGCGGCGGCCGCCCATCATGCACACCACGCCCATGCCGCACATCATGGGCATGGGCATGGGCATGGGCATGTCCACGGACATGTGCATCATGCGCACGAGGCGGCATTTTTGAGCGCCGGCGCTGGCGGCGCTGCCAATCCGAATGGGCTGCTGGCCGGCCATGGCGTCGATGTGCTCGTCGGCCCCGGTGGCGCCGGTCCCGGCGGCAAGAAGAAGAACAAGCGCCGGCACGGACGAACCATATTCACCAGCAGCCAGCTAGAGGAGCTGGAGAAGGCCTTCAAGGAGGCCCACTATCCGGATGTCAGTGCCCGGGAGCTGCTCTCCATGAAGACGGGCCTCGCCGAGGATCGCATACAGGTGAGTTATACGTTCTACGTTTTAATGTCACTTTGCACTGCAGTGGCACGTGCCACGGCGGCAAGGATTTGTTGCAAGCGCCAAATGGCGTCCAGTTTTTATGGTCGCTCGTTAAGTTTTGGCGACGCTCGCGTTTTGGTTTATGGCCGTCGAGGGGCAGAAATCAAAATCAAAGGCGGCTGCTGCTTCGATTTGTTGTTGCGGCACTTGGCAAGTGTTGCCACACACACACACACACACACAGTGCCACATAATGAGGCACACTGATTACATAATTACGAGTGCACACACTCTTGCAACACGGCCGACAACAGCAACAACGGCACAAATGAAGTAAGAAAACGTGGCAGGCGACACTCGCCGACACTCCAAAAATCGCAAATTGCAAAAAATGCGACAATGATCGAGACCTCGAATCATCCCAAGGGGCAAGCCCAGCCCAGACACTTTCACCTTGCAACACTTTCAATGGGCTTGCAACAGCAGCAGCTGCTGCAGCTGGGCCCAATGCAAGCTCTTCAAAAGGGTTGCCTCTTTTTACATAACTCAACTGGGAAATTCATAGAGACACTCCCCCTATATCATATAATACAATATTCTGATATTAAATATGAAGAGCTTTACTTTAAAAATATATATAGCTGCTTATTATGTAATTGTGCGTTCCTTAGGCTTCAAGTTTGCCAATATATTGTCTTTATTTTTTAATTAGAAAGGAAAAAACTAAAAAAACATTACATATCAGATGAGAAAAAGATGGAAGATAGTTTGAAGATACTCTCTTAAGATTCTTGATGTATGCCGGCTTACAGATATACCTAATCCAGAAAACAGTTACAAGCTATAAATATTACTTTTTTTGGTATACTTAAGATTGTTCCGAAAAGAACAAAAGCCACTTTATCAGGAAGAAATAGTGCAAAAAGCAATGCGACTTATCAGAGAATGAAAAGAAGAAGAAGAGACAAATAGATTATAGAAAGAAATCGGGATATGTTAGATATATCAGGATGCCAAGTTAGTTGAAAATACAAATTTGGCAAGATATCAGATTATTCCATTAAATTGAAATGCATAAAAATAAAATTATTTAGGAAAATAAGGAATCCATTAAAGATTCCAAATCCTAGCGCAACATATCCTGGTAGAACCCCCCCCCCTCTACCCTCCTAAAAAAACCACCTTTCTGCAAGCTTAATTTGACCACTTCATAAGGTGTGCAAGATGGCGCCGAGCGAGACGAAGGTGTGGTAAAGAGGGCAAATGATAAAAGAAGTGACAGCGGCTGCGATGGGGAGGGGCTGCATGGGGGGGTTGGGGCACTCGGCGGCAACAAATGAAAGCACAAGAAGTCGGTGGCCAAATGGCTGACGTTCACTTTGAAGCCTGTCCACTCAAAGAGCAGGGGATGTGGGTAGCGGGGGGCTATGTGTGTGTGAGTGCAAATCAAATTAACAAGCACAATTGGCTTGCAAAAAAATGTAATACGCACAAGTAAAACGAAGTACACACACACACACACACACACACACACACACGCACGCACTTCAATTAAGTGCAAATATGGCGCAGTCTGCGCACAGCTTGAAAAATGCCGTTCGGGAATGGCAGCGGGAGTTGTTGTTGTTGTTGTTGTTGTTGTTGTTGTTGTTGTTGTTGTTGTTGTCGAGTGACTGGGCGGGGTGAGGGTGAGGGGGGGGCTCTCACTTGGCACTCGGCGACGGAGGCAATCATTAGCAACAGCGCGACACGACGACAAGAGCCAAGGCTACGAATGCGAAATGCGACTGGCGATGAGTGCAATTTTCAAGGGGCTGTCGCGAAGGGGACGCGGTGCGGAAACGGCGACAATGGCAGCCATGCAAATACATGCAGACAACTGCAGCAGCAGCAGCAACAACAACAAATCGAAGCCACCATTAAAAGTTCGCTTCGCTCTCGCTGCGTTCGCTCTCGTTGATTGTTTTTGTTTTTTTGCCTGCCGTTTTTAATTGCATTCCATTTTGTATGTGTTCCGCTGCTGCTCTCACTGTACTTGTCTGTGTATGTGTGTGTGTGTGTGTGTGTATGTGTGCGTGTGCATATTCGCCCCTGTGCATGTTGTTTTTGCTGCTGCTGCTGCTGCTGCTGTATTTTGTTTTTGTGTTTTCTTCATTCTTTTATTGCTTTTCTACGACGCTGTCAATTTATTTTTGCACGTAGCTGTAACGTAGAAAGAAGCATGGCCGGGCGAAACGTGTTTTTGGCTCGCTCGCACGCCTGCAGCATGTCATTGGGCTTGCGCTCGCTCCCTTTCACACACGCGCCTCGCAATGGCCGGCGAGAGTAGTTTGGCGCAGCAGCAAAAGCTTGACAATCAACCGAATTTGCCGCTGTCAAAAGTCAACAAAGCTGACAGGCGACAAAAGTGGCGACAACGTGTTTAGCTAACTGCCGCTAATGCGCTTTGCCGACTCGATTAGCCACATGCTCACAGAGCCTATTGAGCTGATTTCTGTTTAGCTGCGCCTTGCTTGTCGCCTGTGCGTGTGCGAGTGCGTGTGCGTGTGCGTGTGCGTGTGCGTGTGCGTGTGCGTGTGCGTGTGCGTGTGCGTGTGCAGGGCTTGGTGCGACAAGGATGGCAGATGCATGACAGAAGGCATTGTGTTTGGCCCTCACTGCAATTGGCTCTCGGGACTTTGACTCAGTTCCGCCGCGCTGCTCCATTTGTGTGTTGGCTCATTGTTTCTTTGCTAATTTCAACATGCTCTTGTCCACATTTTTAAGTACACTACACAGAAAAGGCACAAAATGAGCAAGAAAAATAAAATAACGAAAAAAAAAAAACCTTAAAAACAATGCAAACAATTTGCAAATGCATTTAAAATGCATTCGCCATGCACTCCACCGCCTGTTGCAATTGCATAGCTGAGGCACAATGGCAAACTCTCAAGGGAAATCGCTCAAGCACCAATAATTTCGCTTTACTTAAACACATTTTCGAGAGCTTAGCAGAGCTTAACTGAAGCACTTGCCACCTTGCAACATTATTGATTTAAAGCAAACTCAACCCGTGAGTAAAAGCTCTTCAAATAGCCGTATCTGCGTTTATCTCGAGAACTCTAAGAAAATGCACGATAGCATTTAAGCCGTTATCGATTTGTTGTTATCGATAACAGACAAAATGAAAAAAACTCTCGCTTCGTCAACTTTCTCCACGTGCTGTGCAGCTCTTTATTTTCTCCCTCTACTTCCTGCTGTGTGTGTGTGTGTGTGTGTGTGTGTGTGTGTGCTCAGGCCCCGTCCCCGGCCAACCCCTGCTTAAATCATCAGCAAAAGTGTAACAAATGTTTTGCATTCTTCTTCTTCTTCTACTCCTTCTTTTTTTTTTTTTGCATAATTTTAACTGCTCAGCCGCGTTTACACATTAATTATACACTTTACACAGCAGCCCCTGCCCCTGCCCCGCCCCGCCCCGCCATTTTACCATTTTTTTTTTCTTTGCTTTTCCTGCTGATGTTGCTGCGTTTTTAATGAGCTGTTAAAACACACACACACACACACACACTCACGCACACGCACACATTTAAAATGATTATGCATAATTATGTAATTAACATTTAAACAAAAGAGGTTATGGCTATGAAACAAAAGCATTACACAAATTGCTATTTGCATTTTTTTTTTCTGCTTTTTTGCATCGTTAAAAAATGCAACCAAAAAAAGTAGTTAGATAATAGCTGAGAGATTGCGAAGAGAATCTAAAGCGCACGACTAGCAGATACCGTGTAAATTATCTGCCAATAAGTTTAATTTCGTCTTCAAGCAGCTGGTTACTAAATTTCCGATCTCTAGATCAAATTGATCCCAAGATTCTGAAGTTGCACTCAAGACTGGGATGTTACCAAATCGACTTTTTGTATACATATGAGTCACCAGATGGCAAATAAATCCTTATAGAAATATGTCTAATGATACTTTTTTAAGATCTGGCATATTCGCTTAGCTTTTTCTCAGAGTTGGGCCTGCATTTTTGGACATGGCTCGAGAAACTCGCTTGCGATTTGAAAAAGCTTTTGGATTCCCTCATAATAATATTAAAAGTGCAGCACATTTCAGTCAAGCCCATTTGCAGCAATACAGGGTATTAACAGTTCGAAAATGGAATAACTTACAGAATACCCTGTAGCCTTGTCTAAGGCCTCAATAAGCTACTCTTTTGTGTAGGATAATCGACTGCAAAACACAGTATAAGGAATAAGAAATAGAATAAACATAGGCTCCAGAATACCCTGTAGCCTCGTCTAATGCCTCAATTGATGAGCTACCCTTTTGGACAGGGTAATCGGCTGCAAAAGCCCATGTTAAGCATTACAAATTGAATAGACATAGGCTGTAGAATACCCTGTAACCTAGTCAAAGACCTTAATGAGCTACCCTCTTGCATGCCCTCACTTTATAGGGTAATCGACTATAAAATCAACTAACAGAAGATGGCATATTAAAAGCTTGCCGCGTGCCGCACTTGTTAGCATTTTTTAAACCCAATCCCCGCCTCTATTACCTCCCCCCCCCCCCCACCCACCCTCTCTCCCTGCTGGCCAGTGCAGCAGCAGGCAAACAGTGGCAAGTTTCACAACACTGAGAACTGGGCACATTTTAAAAAGTCATTTATCAACGCATTAGCAAAACTGATTGAGCCCAGTGCCCACCCCCCCTCCTCGCGCAACTATCCTCCTTCCGCTCCCCCAGCCACTACTACCACTGCACTTGCTTGCGGGCCAGGGGCGGCATGGCGGGGGGGGTGGGGGGTGGGTTGGTTTGGTGTTAAGTGTTGTCAACTCAAGCAGATTTAATTTGCCATGTTTTTTTTGCCGCGTGTTTCTCTTGTTGCCATCTCAAGTGCAGCGGCAAACAAAACTAAACAACTGTAAATGCAAATGTTGACATCACACCAACAACAACAACGATTCCCCCCCCCCCCCCTCACCACTATCTCTAAGCATGGACAGCGGGCCGCGTGGCAAGCAAATTTAATGCGACCGCCGTCGACTTCTATTTTTATGGTCCGCAGAGAATTGCGGCACATGCAGCCAAAGCGAGTGAGAGAGAGAGAGAGAGCGAGAGAGAGAGAAAGGGGGAAAGAGAGAGAGAGAGAGAGCAACCCTGGGAAAGCCTGAACTTTTCACAACAGAAGATTAAGCTGTCCCCCGGGAGACACACAACCAACAGCAGCAACAGCGGCAACAACAACCCCCCTACTCCCCCCCCCCCCTCACCCCATTAACCTGATACCCCTTGAGACGCACCCACTTTACAAGTTGTCTGTGAAATTGAAAATTGACCGTTTAATGCACGAAAATGGAAAAACTGCTGGCAACATTTCGTGTGCTACTAATAAGTACTACAAAATCAGCGCGTGTCGCTGCCAAACAAGACAGAGGGGCGTGGCGGGCAGTAGATAGACAAGTGGGCAAAGGAAGAGCGGGTGGAAAGGGGGGAAGGGGGGGAGGGGGGTCTGTCTGTGTGACAAGTGGCGTTTCGACTCAATCGGCTCAGACGTCGCTCGAGTCCAAATAGACGCTGCCACGCCCACTCGCCCCCAAGTCGTTGTTGTTGCATTTAATTTAATTAGTTTTTGGCCGCTTTGCTGCACTCCACACACACACACGCACATACACACACGCACACACTTATATAGATGCATACAGATAAGGCTAAAGATATAGATCTGCCCATCCTTCGCACTCGGTTCGTGTCCTTGCTAACTCCATTTGCTCTGCTTCTGCCCCTGTTTCATTTTCTTTTTGTTTTTCCTCCTGTTTATGCGTAATTATCGCATTTTCACTAATGAAATTTTCGCCGTTTGTTTATATGACTGGATCGGGGGGGCGGGGGATCGGGGGAGCTGTGTAATCCTCACGGATATTCCTTCGCCTCGCTTTTTGCTTTCTTTTTGCTTTCTTTTTGTCAACAGCCGAAAGTTGCCTGCGACTAGTTTTCACTCTTTAAATTAACTTCATTCAATTTTGGCGTTGCTTAACGCCTTCAAATTCTCAACTGGTTAAAGCAATGCGATTCGGAAAAGCTCCCCTCCAAATTTTAATTATCTGTTGACCCCACACTCGCTTCCGATTCGGTTTTGTTTTCCCAATTATTGAGCTGCAGTTTGTTTTTTTTTTTTTGTGCATAGGGAAAAGATTTCGCTGAAAATCGAGGCAAAAATGTGAGCGTAATCTGAGCAAATGCCACGGCGAATGCAGAATAAGCAGCGCAACTCGCATATCAATTTTAATGATGCAGCTGCTGGGAATGCAACTGCAGGGAATGGTCTTCTAAATGTGGCTGTGTGTGCAATATACCCATTAGGCACATTGTGTGCAGGGTATATTAACTCAGAACCTTCCCTGATTAGGCTTTCTTTGGAATTGTTCTGTTATCTTCGTTATGCTCTCTTTATAGCCTAGCTTTATTTGTTCCGAAACCAATGTACCCATTTCACGCATTGCAGGGTATCCTAGTGAGAATATGCTACAGAGAGATGAAAAAACTTAAATACTTTGATAGCTCTTTCGAATGTTTTATTGCATTGCACACAAAACAATATTCCCGTTTCACTCACTTTGTACAGGGTATATTAAAACTGAAAAAGTTTCTCTCTTTATAAGCATCTTATCTCCTTTTGGGTAAACTCAATTCAAGCCAGATGCTCTTGGTATACTCACAAAGCCAATATACCCGCTACACTTTTTGTGTGCAGGGTATACAAATATGCTTGTGCAGCAGGAGAGAGTCGAAGGAACATTTTGCTACCTCTCTCGAATATTTTATGCATTACCTTAAACCTATATACCCATTATGCACTTTGTGTGCAGGGTATATTAACTCTTTTGGACCGTTCTCTATTTGGGGGTCTCTTTGAGATCGATTTGCCATCTATTGTCCAACCTTTTTCGCAAACCCAGCATACCCGCTTCGCACGCTTTGTGAAGGGTATATTAACACTGAAGAACATTCTTTCTTTGGGATCGTTCTATTACGGTTGGGGCTTCCTGAAGTCGATTTCTCTGATCCTGCTATACCCTAGACTTAGCACACAGCCAATATACCCGTTACTCACATTATGTGCAGGGTACATTATCTTTGGAATTGTTTAATCATCTTTATTAGGGTTTTTGTTCTTTGCTCTTGTGATACCCTAGCTTTTGAACACAGCATATATACCCGTTTTGCACACTGTGTACAGGGTATTTTAATGTGAACAGAAAAAGAAAAGCCTTTGCTATTTATATCGTATGTTTTTATCATCTTTGTTGGGGTATACCCTGTGTTCGGTTATACCCTAGCTCTCTTCAGTGAGATTGATCGCTTATTAAACCTTCCTCTTCTTCTTCTTCTTCCCCTCTTCTTCTTGTCGTAGGTCTGGTATCAGAATCGACGCGCGAAGTGGCGCAAGACGGAGAAGTGCTGGGGCCACAGCACCAAGATGGCCGAGTACGGGCTGTACGGGGCGATGGTGAGGCACTCGCTGCCGCTGCCGGAGACAATCATCAAGTCGGCCAAGGAGGACGAGTCCGTGGCGCCCTGGCTGCTGGGCATGCACAAGAAGTCGCTGGAGGCCGCCGAGCTGCTGAAGAGCGACGAGAGCGACAGGGAGACGCCCACCTCGGACGACACGAACACCTCGTACTCGGCGGGCAGCACGCACAACTCGCCCATCTCCAGTTTCTCGATATCGCGTCTGCTGTTCGACGCGCCGCCGCCGCCGCCCAGCGCGGCCGGCGGCAAGCAGAGCAAGCATGCGGCCCACGCCCATGCGGCACACGCCCATGCGGCACATGCCCATGCCCACATTGCTGCCGCGAATGCGGCCGCTGCAGCCGCCGCTGCGGCGCATCATCATCATGGCGATGCCGCTGCCGCAGCCGCTGCTGCGGCGGCCATGCACGCGGGCATGCATCATCATCATCACCATCATCATCACGGCGCGCATCCGACGGGGCAGCAGCAGCAGCAGCAGCAGACGGGCCAGCAGCATCATCCGTACAACCAGCAGCAGCACCTGCACCACCTGCAGCAGCTCCAGCAGCAGCAGCAACAACAACAGCAGCAACAGCAGCAGCATCTGGCCGAGCAGCAGGCAGCGGCGGCGGCGGCGGCAGAGCGACGCCAGCAGCAACAGCAGCAGCAGCAGCAGCAGGCAGCGGCGGTGCAGCATGCGATGCACATGCACCACCATGGCACCGCCGGCTATGCCGAGGCAGCTGTTGCCGCTGCCGCTGCCGCCGCGGCGGTTGCAGCGCGCAATGCCGCTGCCGCTGTGGCCGCCGCGGCCGCTGTTTCCGTTGCCGAATCCGAGCCGGAGGAGGAGCCCGACGAGGACGAGGACATGGAGAAGGATTGCGATGCCGATGCCGATGCCGATGTTGATGCGGATGCGGATGTGGACGGCGATGCGGATGCCGATGGCGACATTGACATCTGTGACGACGAGGACGAGGCGCTGTCCCATCAGCAGCTCCTGCTCAAGGTCAAGCAGGAGCACCTCGCCGCAGGAGGCGGCAGCGGCAGCGGCGGGGGCGGGGGCGGGCACGAAGGCGGCAGCAGATGAAACATGTACATCGATGTGTTGTTCTAGGCGAGCCAACGCCAAGGCTGGACACACAAATACTTATTGAAGGGGGCGGAGAGAAGGGGGCGGAGAGAAGGGGGCGGCGCTGCAACTCGGCAATGTTAATTTTCTAAGCATAAATCTAATAAATTAATTAAATATTTAAATCGATAACAATTTTTTTTCATATACCTAAGGCACACACACACACACACACACACACACGCATTCAGCTAATACATACATATATAGCATTAATTAATTAATTAATTAATTCACCAGTTTTTTTTTTTTTTTGCCTCATGTAAATATTAAATTATTCAACAAAAGAATAAAGAAAATACAGATTCTAACTTTAAGCTACAAAAGAAAAAGGAAAAACACAAAAAAAAGCGTTAAACAAAAAAAAAAAAACAAAATATGCTAAATGTGATTTAATTTAGTTTTCAAATCGATTGCAAACAAAATAAGTGAAAGTTGAACAAAAGTGGAAAACACAACAAAAGGCTTTTTATTGTTTAAGAAAAGCGTTTTTTTTTTTGCCCTAAAATTAATATTGTTTTTTTTTTTGCCCACTTTTTTTTCTTAACTGTAGTTGACGTAATTAAAAATTAAAAAAATTAGTATATATATCAATTGACAAGTTTTGTTTATTATCGTCGGATCGTGTTCCACGTAAATCCGTGAATCCATGTACAAAGCGCACGCTTTCGATTCGAGCACAAGTTATAAGCGAGTAGCGCAGCATTCGGCCACGCCGAACTGCAAATACCCTTGCAGAGGTTTGTCCCCTTTCCACCTTGCAGAGCCTTCAAGCGGCATAGAAATCAATGTGAATATACCAAAGCGCAGAGCTCTAACTTCACAATTTGGGGTGGATTTGGGGGTGGATTGGGGGGTGGAATTTGGGGTTGGAATTAAAAAGTGAAATCGAATAAAGTGAAATATTTCTAATCTGTTTCTGTTGCCACAGCTCAATAAAGATTTCTGCCCAATTTTCATTTCCACGCGTTCAGCGAAATTCACTTTCGTTAACTTTCACGCTTTGTTAAATGCTGAAAATTGCATCTTTATAAATCGCCAGCTTAATTAATTGCATTATCTTGCACAGATTTATACGGGAATTTGTTATTTTTTCGAAATGTTTTTAAGTTAAAAATCAATTTTAACTTTTCTTTTCACTTTACTCGACTTTTTCTTAGGCACTTCTTAAAGCTGGCCTCTTTAAGGCATTTCATGACAAATCTTTGCAATACTCTCTCTCTCTCTGCAGGGGTAAAACACACACGCACACGCACACGCACGCACACGCACGCAAACACTCACGTAATTAATGCAATACGAATGAAAGACATCTGCATCTGCATCTGAGTCAGAGACACAAATCAATTGCAGACATTCTCTTTATGATGCAACCACTTGATCAAATTAGTTAATAGTTCCACACGCACACACACACACGCACACACACACACACAAGCACACACACGCGCGTATTTCCCTCTCTCTCATTTTCTAAAAGCTTACGCGAAATTGTCACACAAACTGCGCAATAACGAGTAATAAACAACAACAACAACAAAAACCTTTTAAAAAAAGAAATGCAAATATACAAAATACACAAATAACATATAAATATATATACATATGTATATATATATATATATATATATATATGAAAGTTAGATGGAATAAAACGAAAGACATACGATATAAATACAACTTAATTACAACAAATAATTGTTTTTTACTATAAAAAGGCATAGTGTAAATATTACCCGGCATTGTGCGACTCAAGGCTTTGTCAACATGAACTTTCTGGAGAACGAGTGAAGATAAGCAAAAAAGTAGTCAGCAACCGATTTTCACCAATTTTCCACACATCCTGGTGGAATTTTGCGCCGTCTTAGTGTGCACATATTTCACATGCCTGGGGAAAAACGTTCGTTTAATCAGCTGCCTAAAAGTATGCTTTTAAATTTGATAAGTTCGTTTTTTTTAGCACGCTGCAATCAGCTTTTTTCAAATATAAATTCAAATATTGCCTTTGAAATTAACGGCTCGTTCGTGTATAACAGTTTTTAGGCGCCATCGTTGTGTCATTGTTGCTTGTACAGTCTAGCATCACAGGCACTATATATAAGACATCACACATAGGTGGCGCTAAACATGCAAGCATATATACTGATGCATAGCTGGCGCCAGTTGCAAATATTGATTACACACACTTGCTTGCACAATTAGTTTATATTTTTAATTATTATTATTGAAGCTTAAAATATTAAGAAAAAAACAAAAGCAACCAAATGTATGATACAAAAATAAAATAAAAGGCTTGTATGCACCGGGATTCGAACTGCACAAATCAAATGCGCTGCGCATATGCTGCCTGTTTAATGTCGTGCAGTAGTAGAGACTGCTTAATTTGAGGGTAGGCTGGTGTAGGGCGTTGAGTTGCGCGTCGTTCTTGGAGCCAAGAGTTGGGAGTTCAAAACCCATCGTGTGAAGATCAGTAAATTCGTTTGTAAAAAAAATTGTCTTTGATGTAAAGTTCTTCCTTCTTCCCTGTTCTCTCTCTCACTTCGATCGTCGTCCCTTTCTCTATTCTTGTCGTCTTTGCTTGCTCTCTGCCGCCTCTAAGCCCCACTTTTCCACACATAATTCTATCGATAATTCGCACACAAACAACCACCCCTAACCGCCACGCGCCGTTTGTTCATAATATTGCAAATGAGCGTACCAGTGTATACACATACATTGAATATAGGGGGATATTATATAAATTTCTCCGCAGGAAGCCGGGAGTAGTCGTTCAATTTCTAGACCTCCCGGTGCCAATCGCAAGAGAGAAACAAATACAATTTTTTTATTTGGTTTTGTTTTTAGTTCAGCTAATTTTACGATGTGTTTGTCATGATTTTTAATGTTAAAACGCAGCCTTGAAATTTCGAGCGCGCGAGATAAATAAGTAAATTAAAAATTAAAAACTGAAAATTAAAAAAACGTCGAGTGTCATTTTCATTTGTTGACTTTGGCAAAATAGCGCATAAATCAAAAAAGATGCGACGCGGCGACGTAGTGTAGTCCCCTCTCCCCAACGCGCAAGGGACGTGAATACTTCCGCGCTGCTGACGCACTATACTACTAACTCAAATAAACACATACATATATATGAATATATAAAGATATAGATATATAGAGATATATAAGCAAGCACATGCCTTGGCTCTCCTGTGACACAGATGCGTGCGTGCGCCAAGAGTCAAGTGCGTGGGCCTGGGACCTCTTTGGCCAGCTGCCAGTGTGTACATTCTGTGGATGGGTGTGTGCGGTAGAGTGCGGGAAGGGGAAGGGGACGAGGAGGCTGTGTCGTCTGCGGCCGTGTGTCGCTAATCTGAGTAGCATTATAAATTGAGCCGATCTGGTTGCGTGCCATCATTTATTTGCCAGACTGAAGGGCAAGGGCAAGACACGAGTGAAACATAATACGCAAAAGCGCAGACAGCATTTCATTTCATTTCGTAATTGGCACAAGACAATTGAAAAAAAGTACAAAAACAATTTTACTTGATATTTAACAGCATATTCCGGCACACATATGTGCCGCTTAGCCGAGTTTCAAACCAAAACTTCAGCCTGGCTTGCCGGCAGCTTAAAGCTCGCCAACTAGCAAAGACTTCGCTACAAAAGCTGGATGGGTGGATGGGCCAATAGAATGCGTCCCATTAGGATTGCAATTAATTTCATGTTCCCTATTTAACATACATACGTACGTACGTATATAATCAGTTAGCATTTATGAGATATTTTAAGACTTCACTTAAAATAGATGTATATTGATGATAGATGAATTTGTGAATTTACATTTTATAATATCAAATCGAAAGACAAGTTAATTAACAGCTGAACTGATATGGTTTTTAATGGGGCCCCTTCTGAACGGTTTGAATGTGGTTCAAACTATTTTAAACGGCGTTAAAAGTGCTTCAAAAGCAGTACAATATGCTTGAAATCAAAAATAAAAAATATATTTTAAATGTGGTTCGAAACGTCAAAAAGTGGTTAAAACGGTTCATGAATAATTTAAAACGGTTGGGAAGGGTTTTCAAATGCTTTACAAATGCTTTTAAACGGTTATGTAGCTGGAAATGGTTAAAAGTTTGTTCAAAATGCTTGAAATCGGTTAAAATCTTCTTAATACGTTGAAAATGTTGTTCGAAACTGTTTAAATGTGGTTCAATAATGGTTGAAATCCCATTAAGGGTTTTCAATAGGTTGTAAATGGGGTTTGAAACGGTTTAAAATGCTTTTAAAGTGCTTTCAAACGATTAAAACGGTTCATGTATGTTTTGTAACGGCCAAAAAGTGGTTCAATGTCATAAGAACTGCAGTTTTATGGACACATTTGCGAAACGCTTGCTAATTAGTTTGTGTTTGTGCAGTCGAGCGAAAAAGTATTCAAGTATTCCTGCCACTAAGTTAGTTATTTGAGCAACTGAACAATATCAAATTCGGTGAATCGATGGGGTTCGGGGTGTGAAAAGATGTGAGAGCGTCGAACATATGTTGAACACAATTGCGCTATTCGAATTGGCTAAAAATAAAATGCGAATGCGATTTGAGCCATCAACGCTCGACACTTGCAGCGTCTGTGCGGCTCGTGCCCCCGCCTGTGGATGTGGCTGTGGATGCGGCTGCTGCTGCGGCTGCGGCTGACTAATGCGTCGAAATGTGAGGAAAATCGGTTTGCGTAAAAAAAAAAATTAAAGAAAAAAACAAACAGAAATGAAAAATGCGCGGCACATGCCACCAATTCACAACACAACACTCATAAAATAAAAGCCAAAAATTGAAAATCGAAAAAAAAAAACAATAAAAGAAAAACGAAAACCAAACCGACCAAAATCGACAAAATGCCCCGCAAAGTGTCAAAAATGCGTCAAGATCAAAGCGAGCTACAAATTTCACCGCCAGTTGGCAAATGCAACGATAAATTGGCCACACACACACACACGCACACACGCACACACACACGCAGACACTTATGTATCTATATAC